TGCCCAGAAGTTCCCACAGCACTTGCACGTTCTTCAGAGATAGATTCAACAGGTTCAGAAGCCCCGTTTGCACCCCCCCATGAGTGTCTGATATCAGCCCCAAGTCTTCGACCGCATCCCACTCTGCTTTCCATTGTTTCAATGCCTCAAAGAGCGATCCCCACGTAACAGCTAAACCGATAGCGCTTTCATTTCTTGTCCTGATAATTTCCTACAATCTGTTCCCGACTTTTGTCCATGCTTTAATACTAAATGCAGCACCGGGATTGGTGCCAAAACCTTGAGTCCAACTCTCCTTGTTTCCTAACAAAACTTTCCATGTAGTTAAGACAGTCTCTTCCTCTTGAAATAAAATATTTCCTATTATTAGTAGTTGGTGGCTCACCTAATTCCAGGTGTCTTGATAGAAGAAAATCAGGTCCTGACCTCCTTATGGCTCTCTCCGCCACACTTGCTTCACCAACCACCGCCCCCCCCCACTCCTTCCCAGTGGGTCACGGCTGCCAATCGCTGGGATCCCGATAAGGGTTCAATCCTCGATAAGGATATCTTATCACGTCGGGGTCACCAGATGTCGCTGTCGGGGCGGTCACGACACAACAAAGAGACTAGAAGCAGTCTCATTTGGCAACTTTTTAATACAAAATATGTCCGACTTTTTATACACTCTGTGATAGTTTATACTTCTTCTACTTTAACTATTGGCTACAATAAATCAACATAACACCATTGGTGAAAAATTACAGTGACTTAAGTAACTTTCTAAAAATACTCCATCCAGCTGCGAAGTTCTCTTCTTATCTTTCTTCTGTTCCTCACTTCTCTTGGTCTCCTTAGTTACAGCCTTGAAAACAACTCCTTACCAGCTACTTCTTTGCTTCTTGCTCCTTCAGCTAACAGGCCCACTGTTAGCTCCTTCCACAATTGTGGATGACGGAAGCCCAGGCTGCAGAGCACCCATAGGTTCAATAACTGCATTTACTGCCCATAGATCCTTTAATAATTGTTACTTGCCATTTTGTTTAGGTATACAGAATATAGGGGTATTCCATGGGCTAGAAGATGGACAGATATGGCCTAAAGACAAGCATTCTTCCATAAGCTCTTTTAAATTTAGTAGCCGTTCCTTTCCTAGGGGCCATTGGTTGACCCACACAGGGTCTTCAGTCCGCCATGTGAATTTACATACGTCCAGTATTTGATTTTGGAACGGCTGATCAATGGCCCCTATGAAAAAGGCCCTCCTGTGAGGTTGAGTCTATTTGTATGGTCGTTCCAAATTGTCCCAGAACATCTCTTCCCATAATGTGCAAGGTATAGAGGCAATAATAAATGGTGCAATCCAGGCAGTTTGCCCATCAGGGCCAAGGACAAGCCAAAGGTGAGCGCTCTGTCTAGGGTGGGCGCTGCATCCCTCCCACCCCAGTTAGTGCAGCTGACTGTGGGCCAATTACTAGGCCATTCATTACTTTTAATGATAGAGAGATCAGCTCCACTATCAACAAGCCCTTTAAATTTTTTGCCATCTATAGTGCATGCTAAAGTTGGTTGAGCTGCTGTAATAGAGCTTGTCTAGAAAATCTGGGGCTGACCTGTGCTGCCAAAGTTATCTGTGGCACGTTTGCCTTTGCCACTAGGGGTTTTGTAGGAGAAGGGAACAAGTTGTGCTGTACGTTGACCTGCAGGTATAAAGCAGGGTGGCATAGGGGTGCATAGTATAATGTGTATTTGGCCCTCATAATCTGAATCAATAACTCTGGGCAGTACAAAAAGTCCCAACCTGGTGGCAGAGGAACAACCATATCAACAAAGCATGAATGCTATTACCAAGGGGTCACCAGACTCCAGGAGGAGCTAAATGTAGCAAACATGACATTAGAGTTAGGAATTCTCTGGAGGCAAGATCCAGCCTGGCATTGCCTGCGGCTGTAGGCAGGAGCTCGCTTGCTAAAAGTCTTGTCTCACTTTTTTTTTGATTCTCTGGGGCATGAAGACTGGCCCTCAGTTGGAAGTTTCCTGGCTGTGTAGCCTTCCAATTCACAGGGTACTGGGAGTGGCAGTCAACAGCTCAATGCTTTCTCCTTCCACACCTGGGACAATCTTTAGATATTTAGATATCTTTAGATATTTTTATTCCATCCCCTAGTTGAGGGCAATCCTTTTTAAAATGACCCATTGAACCACATTTAATAGAGCCTCCCGCCCGCGTGTCCGGAACTCAGAAGTGCGCGGTTAAAGCCACTGCCAGAGAATTAGTGTTGTAAGCAGTAGTTCCCACATTTTGGCATGCTCTGCTGTGTCACAAGTATGTAGGTTATGAACAGCAAGCAATGCTTTTCTACAATCTTTTTTTGTGTTTGTAAAACCAAGCAGCTGCAACAGAATAACTTTGGCCTCATCACTGTCAGCATGCTGGGAGAGCACGGCTTGCAGTCTGTCCAGGAACTGCACGAACGACTCCGCTGGACCCTGTGAAATATTAGCAAACAACAGGTTAGAATCAATATCCATCCCTGGGAGTTGCTGCAGGACCTGCAGGGCTAGGTGAGCAATGATATCACATGCATCATGGGGGTAGCCTGCCTGCACTGCAGGGACTGCAAAGAGACCCTCTCTGGTCAGCTGCACAACAGCGACTGGTGCATTTCTGTCCTGCAGCACTTCTGCCTGGGCTGTACACAGCTCTCGGTAACCTGAGCCAGACTGCAAACTTCATCACTGTCAGGATCATTTTCATTATGCTTTTCCATTATGCTTCTCGTGGGGAGTGAGGACGTACATGTTCCTGATGGATTGTAGGTAGCTTAGGGTGGGATGGGAGGATATCTGCTGCTTTCTTTTACTAGCACCCTCAGTTCTGTAATTACTTTATAGTCTAGCTCCTGATGTGCCAGCTGATGGTTTGGCGCATATATTCCTGGGCAGGCTGTAACGACCACCAAACTTCCCTCCTTCATGGCGGTTTCCTGTCGTTTTTGCCAGTGCTGGACTACTGCATTGCCATCTTGGGCAGGAAGTGAGCCCGCCGCCCACTCATGAGATGAGAGTTCTGTGCCAAGGGGTCCTGCCATGCAGGAATTTTTATTGGGGTAAGGCAGTTCTGTGGGGCCTGGGTTGATCTCAGGGTAAGGCAATTCTGCAGGGTTTGGATTAATCTCGGAGTCGTATACGGGTCCTGGTGGCACTGAGGGTTTGGGGGATTAACGTCCGAAGCTGTGAAATGGCCGACATTCGTGTGACTTCCTTTAATGGCCGCCGTGATTGTCCCCCATGTAGCAAGCTTTGGCATCACCGTCCCCGGCGATATCAAAAAGTTTCTGCCGTACTGCTTGCCAGGTTGCTGATCAAAGGGGCCACTAAAGGGAAAATCTTTAACTTGATTAGATACCCAGTCCAGCATGGTGCTTAGTTTCACATCACCCATATTAATTGATTGCTGATGTAGGAGCTGCCTTACCTAGCCCAAGCTCCTGCTTTGTTCCAGGGATATTCCACCTTCAATACGTTCTCCCACAGGACTACACAACCCCTAGGAGAGGTGCATGGAATTTTAAATTCCTGAGTTCCTTCCCGAACTTCTCTCAGATCCTTCCCTGGATCCTTTTCCCAGACTCTTCTTAGCCAGTTCCTTGACCTGATTTGGGTCTGCCATTTGCAGCACTTGGAACAAAGCAACACGGACCCCCTTATGTATCCAAAGGAGGTTGCTTTATTGTAAAAATTGGCTGATGTTTATACCTTTAATCTCAACCTGACATAATGGAAACCAAACCGAGGCCTAACAGAACTTAAAGGAAGGAGGGCACCCATTGGCTGGCTCAGCTGCAGTGCTGCTGTCAACGTGTCCTGCCATCCAATCAGCTTCATGCTCATTAACGGTCCATGTGTCCTACCATCCAATCAGCTTCATGCTCATTAACTGTCCACGTGTCCTACCATCCAATCCGCTTCCTGCTCATACTCTGGTCATGTGTTCCTGCAGCCAATCAGGATCTCACTCCCATCTGACTCGCCCCTCACTCCTGACTGCCTCTCAGCCCTCAGCCGAGCCCCACCCGCGCGGCCTGCAGCTCTGCCTTTCCCTCGGGGCCTTCTGGTGAGCGCAGGCCTTAGCCACTTTAACAATCACAACCCCATGCCCTACAGTCAGTTGTACCACACTGGAATCAAACAAGCCCAGAAATCCAGATCTGATTGAGGGGTAGTTACAAAATGGCAAAGATCAGCACAGCCTGGCCTGTGGCTGAAGCTGCTGTGCAGTCGCTGTTCAGCTCCTCCTGAGGGTGGCCAGGTCCAGGATGGAGCTGGTCAAGGGCTTCCCTGGACACTGATGCTGGGGAACCAGAGGATGGATGGCCCCGTTCTGCAGAAGAGCAGCAGAACCCCTAATTTCTGTACAATTAAATGGTCCAAGCATCTGGTGATGGGAATTTCCACACTCCATGTACTTTCTGGTACAGGCACAGGAGCTCAGAGGAGTTCATTGTCTACTCTGCACTTTACTCAGAAGGATTTAATTCTGGAATTAAAGTATGTGAGGAATTCCCACAGAAAGGACAAGGGAATGTTGCTGTCCCTCCCCAGCTCTGCAGCCCTACCTGGTGTCCCTTCCCATCAACTGGGAATGCAGGGCTGGCTCTGCTGGACAGAAGGGGAAGGATGCTGCGTGTGATCCCAACCCCTGTCCTGCCATCCAGAGGCACCAGCCCCGCAGGGATTTGGGAAATTACTGCCACTGCTGCTGGGTGTGTCCCCAGGACTTAACGTGTCCCATGCTTTGCAGGCAAGAGCTCCCTGAAAACACCATGAAACTCATCTGCTGAGCCAAAGGAGATGGAGTTCATTCCCTGGGGCCGAGGCCATGAGGGTCGTTCCATGGGGAATAGAGCTGGGGAACAGCACTGAGCCCAGCTGCACTGCTTGGAGCCATGTGGATCCAGGAGGGAGGAGGAAAGCCATGCTCCAATGTGCTCCCTGCAGAGCATCCCACAAAAATCACCCAAGGCAATACTCCTGCTCCCTTCTCCTGCAGGAATACACCACTATGTAGAGGGTGATCCCATGGTTGTTTATTAATCATGAATTCCTGAATAATATCAAGGAAAACCCTCAGCCTCTGTGCTGAGGTTCTCCAGCAGAGCAGTGGAAGGGATCAGCAGGCTCAGATCCCTGTGTCTCTGGTGTCATCATTGCTGTGGGCTGTTTTTTCTTTCTGCTACTCAAAGACCCTCTGAAGGTAGAGACGGAGGGACCCCACTGTACAGAGCCTCCAGCAGCTCGCCATGGAGCAGGGCCTCCAGGAGCTCCCTGCCAGGAAGTAGATGAAGGGTTTGATGCTGCTGTTGATGCTGGCGAGCAGGAAAACCGCCTGGGAGGGCACATCAATGTAACCGAGCTGCTGCAGGAAATTGCAGAAGCTGAGGAGAAGAGTTAACAGCGCAGTGACATGGATAACCACGTCACGCCTCTGGGGCTGCTGCTGCTGGGAGCCCCACTTGGCCTTGATGAAGTCAATTATACCAGAAATGGCCACGGGCGCAGCAAAGAAGAGCAGGATGCCGGTATAAAGGGAGATAAGAGGCACACGGCAGTGCTCCTGCTCTTGCGATTGACAGAGAAATATCACAGAGGGAATGACAGTGAAGAGAGCAAAGAAGGCCCAGGACTGGACACTCCCCACCACCAACCACATTCGCTCGGAAAGCCCCCAGCGGATGCGCTGTAGGATCTTGGCCATATACAGCACAGTGCCACCAGGCCTCAGCCAGAACAGCCCCCAGTAGTAGGAGACCACTGACAGCTGGAAAAGGAAACGCAGGTACAGCAGGGGCATGACAGGAGAGCAGGACATGTCCTCCACCAGGAAGAGGAAGGCAATGGGGATTGTGAGGAGAAGGAAGAGGAAGTCAGCAACAGCCAGCTTAAAGATGCCGGAGTTATAGCTTTTCAGACTGAGGAGCCAGAGGACAGCCCCGTTCCCTGCCAGCCCACAGAGGCAGATGAGCAGAGTCACACTGTGTGTGGCCATGGTGGTGACATCTGTCTCACACAGATGGTCCCCTTCAGTGGGTGAGACAGGACGTGGGGACACGGTGGTCACCTCCATGGATTACTTCTCATTATCATCCTCTGAATCTGTTAATAATAAATTTACTTAATACCATTACCTTTGAATCTGGTTTTTTTCTATTCTTGGAGTGTTTTTTCGATCCTGTGCATATTTATTCAGCAGGTGACTCAAGGAAACCTGAGGTCCTTCAGCAGAGCAGTGGAAGGGATCAGCAGGCTCAGATCCCCGTGTCCCTGAGGGCATCATCGCTGTGGTCAGTTTTTTCTTTCTGCTCCTCAAAGACTCTCTGAAGGGAGAGACGGAGGGACCCCACTGTACAGAGCCTCCAGCGACTTGCCCTGGAGCAGGGTCTCATGCACCTCCCTGCCAAGAAGTAGATGAAGGGTTTGATGCTGCTGTTGATGCAGGTGAGCAGGAAAACCACCTGGGAGGACACAGCGATGTAACCGAGCTGCTGCAGGAAATGGCAGAGGCTGAGGAGGAGAGTGAGGAGCAGAGTGAGGACGATAACAATGTCGTGCCTCTTGGGTGGCTGCTGCTGGGAGCCCCACTTGGCCTTAATGAAATCGATTGTGCTGGAAATGACCACGGGTGCAACAAAGAAGAGCAGGATGATGGCGTACATGGAGATGAGAGGCGCACGGCAGTGTTCCTGCTCATGTGATGGGCACAGGAATGTCACTGCAGGAATGACAGCAAAGAGAGCAAAGAAGGCACAGGACTGGACACTTCCCACGACCAACCACATGCGCTCTGGAAGGTCACAGGGGCAGCAGAGCTGGAAGAGGTTGCGCACATAAAGCACAGTGATACTGCGTATCAGCCAGAACAGCCCCCAGTAGTAGGAGACCACTGACATCCGGAAAAGGAAACTCAGGTACAGCATGGGCATGATATGAGAGCAGGACATGTCCTCCACCAGGAAGAGCAGGGCAGAGAGGACTGTGAAGAGAAGGAAGAGGAAGTCGGAGACAGCCAAGTCAAAGATGCCAGAGTTACAATTTTTCAGGTTGAGGAGGCCAATGACAGCTCCGTTCCCTGCCAGCCCACAGAGGCAGATGAGCAGAGTCACACTGTGCATGGCCACATTGGTGGCATCTGTCTCACAAAGATAGTCCCCTTCAGTGGGTGAGACAGGAGATGGGAACACGGTGCTCACCTCCATGGATGGACGCTGGGCAGGCAGTGGGATGTGGCCCCTGGCTGTGGTCAGAGTGGATGGGGAGTCAGTGTTTGGAAAATCCAGGGATGGGCCATGAGGATCCTCAGTAGCTCCCTGCAGTGGGAAGGATTCAGAGGGGAGGAGTGAGATGTGCAGGGGAGGAGGGCAGTGGAAATGGTGGGGTGGGAGATGGAGGTGGGAGCATTGGGATGTGGAAGGAAAGCAGAGGGCAGAGGAGGGGGCATCTGGGGAGGGCACTGCGGGAGGGCACTGTGGTCACCGTGAGAGGGTGGCAGGAAGAGAGCAGCTGCTGCAGGAGAGGAAGGTGCGTAGGGAAGAAGGAAACCATTCCACCGACCTGTTCCCTGTGGGGCAGCAGCAGGCAAAGGGGTCTGTGCAGATCAGCGGCGCTTCCTGGTACCTCTTGCTGCTTTGGGATCCATGTCCTAAAGCGGCTCCTGGCAGGTCAGTGACATGAAGGAGAAAGTGCCCAGATCACCAGGAGCTCCCCATTCCCATCCTGCCAGCTGATCTCTGTTCCCTATCCCAGTGCTGCCTGCAAGGCTTGGTGGGGTCATAGGGCAGATGGAAGTTGTTTGCAACTTTGGGTACGTCAGAGCTCCACTCCCTCAGAGGTATTTGTCTTGGTTTTTTTTTTCTTTGTCACAAAGGAATTGGCTTTGTCAAAGGCTCCAAATGAAATATTTTGCAAATGGCTCCTCATTTCCTTTTGATTAGAAACATTCCTTCCCTGCAGAATGTCCCATTCTCCGACTGCTTTCCCTCTCCCAAAAGGTTTCTACAACTCCTTGTTTCTCTTCCCTGAGGGATCAGTGGCCCTCCAGCAGCAGAGGGATGCAGGTGGCACTGGTTGCACTGGAGTGCTGGCAATGCTGGCAGTGCTGTTGAGGCATCTGAGTGCTTCTCAGAAAGAGCTCCTGTTCTGGAAAGAGTTCTGACATCTTTGACAAAACCTGGGCCCAAAGCACCACAAATGAGACAAGAATTCACATTTTTGTCATCCTACCACAGGCTTATATAGCCCAAGGGAAGGACAGCACTCAGTTGCTTGCAGCCAGGTCATCAGCACTTAGAACCCACCCTAATTACTGCCAATCCCCTTGATGATGCAATGAAAGTGAGTGGTCAGAGATTTGGCTGTGGGCAGCAGGGGCTGTGGGGGGCTCACTGTGAGCCTCTGAGGGGCCCTGGTTTGTGCCCCCACCCCAGCCTTAGAGGTGTCTGGCACACAAACAGGGACAGCTGAGAGGGACTTGTCCCAGCCCCATCTGCTGCCTGGCACGCTCAGGCAGACAGCAACTGCCCCAGGGTTACTGCCAGCTTGTGTGGCAGAGAGGGAACTGCAGCAGCCAGTGCCACTGGGCTGTCTCTGCTGGGAAGGAAGGTGCCATCCAGCACAGGAGGAGCAGGGCATGGAAAGGGAGACACTGCTCTGTCTCCCTGTGGAAATTAGCACAGTGCCTGTCTTTCAAAGGCAGGCACCTATGTGAGTCATTGGAGTTTCCTGAAAGGAAGAAACCCCAGGGACAGAAAGCACCATTTCTAGAGCACTGGCAGGGCAAGAATCCCAGCAAGATGACGCAACCAGAATAAATGGATGAGTGGGATTCTGGGCCACGTTTGCCTGTGATGGCAACGTCCTGCATATGATGACTGGTGACCAGATGGTCCCATCGCTCCTCTTTCCTGGTGTTTCTAGGAACTAGAGGAATCCTGATTGAGACTGTGAAGCACTGAGCTTGGAAAATAATAGTTCACTGGTGTTTGTTGGTTTTTTGGTTTTTTTTCCTCTGAGGAAGTGAGTTTTGTCAAAACTCCACTTAAAGAATAGAATGGGTACTCTTTTCCTCCTGATTCAAAACACTCCTTACCGGGCAATGTCCCATTCTCTGACTGCCTTCCCTCTCCAGACAGGCTTCTGCCATTTCTCATTTCTCTTTCATGAGGGGTCATGGTCCCTCCAGCAGCAGAGGGATGCTGGTGGTGCAGGTGGCACCGGAATGGTGCCAGTGCTGACAGTGCTGGTGGAGCATTGGGCTGCTTGTCAGAAACAACTCCCTTGCTGGTAAGAGGTCTGGGATCATTGCCAAAAGCTGCCCTGGGCCCAAGGAAACAGAGCTGAGCCAAGAATTCCCATTTTTTCATTCAAATGCAGGCTCACACTGCCCAAAGGAAGCACAGCAAACAGTTGATTTGTGTTGATTTGGCACAGCCTGGTTTTTTGGTAGCCGGGGAGTGTAGGAGTCTGCCTCCTAATGACAGAGTGGCAAAACTAACCTTTGTCCCCCAAAAAAGGAAAGAAGCCCAGAAGTTTCTCTCAACGATTAGGTGAAAAGCCACCTCATAGGACCTCAGAGACTTCACCAAACACTAGAGAACATCTAATTGGATAGAAGCCAAAAAGTCCCGCCTGAGCTATCAGGTAGAAAAGAAGAGAACAAAAAGAGCTAAAGTGCTTTTGTGAAGTGTTTTTACCAGGAGCAGACTTCTGCAGCTGGCTCGAGTTTTTCTGTTTGTTATTTTGCCTTTTATTAAACCCTTTTTGTTTCTAACACCGCAGCAGAAGTCATCCTGCTTATTTTATGCCCCCAAAGTAATAGCTGAGCTATCCTTGGGTGTATTAAGTTTCTTTTCAGGGCTTATGAGACCTGGCCCAAGAAAAACAAACTTAATAGGGGAGGGCCACAGAAAGGGGCTCCTGTTGGAAGCTGCTGGAAGCTTCCACCATATCTGACAGATCCAGTTTCTGATGGCTCTGAAGATGGACATGCTGCTGGCCCAGTCAGAGAGGCTGGTAACACCTCTGTGATACCGTATTTCTGGCGAAAATGAAAGCAGCGCACACGCAGTGTTTACCAGGGATGGCGAGGCACCGCTGCTGGGGCCATCTCGGTGTGGTGAGCGGTGACGCGCCGCGGCCGCTGCCATCCCGGTGTGGCCCAGGGAAAGCCTTGTGGAGGGCAAGACCCGAGCAGAGAGAGAGAGATAGAGAGGTCCATTGCTTCCAAAGTAGAGCAGCCTGTCTTTGGAGGACTGCCCCCCGTGGAAGAGTGACCCAAGCCATAACAGTTTTGAGGAGACTGTTTGCCTGTGTGAGTGACTCACTTTGCAACAGTTTTGTCAGGACTGCTGCTGGTGAGATTAGAGCCACACGGAGGAAGTTCATGGAGAACTGTCTCCCGTGGGAGAGACCCCATGACAAAGCACAAAAAAACTCCTCTCCCTCAGCTAACAGAGTCTCCAGCAGCTTCTCATGGAGTAGGCTCTCTTCCAGCTCCCCACCAAGAAGTAGATGAAGGGTTTGATGCTGCTGGTGATGCAGGTGAGCAGGAAAACCACCTGGGAGGGCACAGCCGTGTAACCGAGCTGCTGCAGGAATGACCAGAGACTGAGGGGCAGACTGAAGAGTGCAACAAGGAAGATAACGATGTCCAGATTCTTGGGTGGCTCTTGGGATCCAGGCTTGAAATGAATGAAGAGGATTGTGCTGGAAATGACCATAGGTACAGCAAATAGGAAGAGGTTGAGGGCGTACATGGAGGTGAGAGCCACCTGGCACTTCTCCTGTTCGTGTGACTGGCACAGGGAAGTCACTGTGGGATTGACAGCGGTGACAACAAAGAACAAAGCCCAGAACAGGGCACTCATCACCACCCACAACAATTGCTCAGACTGTTGCCCAACACAGAAAAACAGGCAGAGGATGGACCTGCACCTCTCGATGCTGATGAACATCAGCTGGAACAGCCCCATGGTGTAGGTGAACAGTGACAGCTGGGAAAGCAAGCTCAAATACATTGGGGATATTAGAGCAGAGCAGGACACTTCCTCCACAAGGAAGAGCAGAGTGGAGGGGACCATGAAGATGAGGAAGAGGAAGTCGATGCTGGCCTGATTGAAAGCCACAAAGTCAGTGATGGCATCAATGAGGAGGAGCCAGAGGAAAGTCCCGTTCCCAGCCAGCCCACAGAGGCCGATGAGCAGTGTCACAAAGTGCATGGCCACGCTGGAGACATTGATCTCACACTGACCAGGTCCATCGTTTGGTGAGGTGAAGAAAGGGGACACGGTGGTCACCTCCATGGATGGACACTGGGCAGGCAGTGGGATGTGGCCCCTGGCTGTGGTCAGCATGGATGGGCAGTCACTGCTTGGAGAATCCAGGGATGGACCATGTGGCTCCTCAGCAGCTCCCTGCAGTGGGAAGGATTCAGAGGGGAGGAGTGAGATGTGCAGGAATGGAGAGTGGTGGAAATTCTGGGGTGGGAAAGGGGGGTGGGAGGGTTGGGCTGTTCGGCAGGAGGTTGATAAATAACATAGAGAATAAACATTTTCCGTTCTTCTGAAGGTATTCAAAAGCAAAGTGGCCAAAATTTAAAAGGATGTGTTATAGATGGGTAATGGGATGATTGGCTCTCACAGTTAAGGGATGAATAGTGGGTGAATAATAAGAGAAGCTTCATTGATGTATAATTATGTTATTGTAGGCTGTTGTTTAGATGTCCTCTCTTCTCCCCATAATCCCCTTTTCCCCCTCTGTATTGCTGCCGTCAGAGGCCCTGAGTCACCTGTGACAGGTACAAAGAAGGGGGGTACAAAGCTTGTTGCTGGGGAGGAGGTGCAGCATGACAACACCTGCCCTCCAGTCAAGTTGTAAGAACGCAGGCTCCACCAATACACACAAAGAAGAGTTGTCAGACAGACTTTGGGAGGGCCCAGGTTTAGCTGGTGCAACCTGGCTCCTCCACCCTTCCATCTTGCCAGACCTTCACCCCGCTCCTCTGCCCAAGGCCCCGGCCTACCTCAGCCGGCCACATGGCTTCCCTCCCCCAGCCAGCCCCGGCTGGGCAGGGGAGCTCTGACCTCCTTCAGGGACTGGGACCAAGAGAGTTCTCCTGGGAGTTCTTGCTTTTAACCCCCTGTGTTCTCAGAGGCGGTCCATACCTTCAGTTGCCAAACCAGGTGCCAATATTCCAATCCAAGCACTGATTGGTTTGACCACAACCTCCCAAAAAATTCACTTCCTTCTTAACCTACGACAGCAATAAAAGCAACAGGGGACCAGATTTTGGGGTGCTGGGGTGCCCCTTCCAACCCTTCTCCAGAGCTCATCGTCCTCCTCCTCAGTCTTGGGAATACTTGTGGTTGTTTTTTTCCTGATCTCACGCCTTTGCAAGCAGGGACACCTTCCACCAGGTCAGATTGCTTCAAACCCCATCCAGCCAGGCCTGGAACACCTCCAGGGATGGGGAGCACAGAGCATCTCTGGAAACCTGTGCCAGGGCCTCTCCACCCTCACAGGGAGGAATTTGTTCCTAATACTCCACCTAACCCTGTCCTGTGGCACTGGGAAGCCATTCCCCCTTGTTCTCCAGGCATTTGTCCAAAGCGCCTCTCCAGTTCTTGGAGCCTCTTAAAGCTCTGGAAAGGTCTCTAAGGTCTCCCTGAAGCCTTCTCTTCTCCAGGCGGAACATCCCAAGCTCAGAGACCTCAGCAAAGCCAGAGGGTGGGGGTTGATGCCCCATGAAGACAATGGTGACAAACACAGATGTCACCCTGCTCCTGGAAGGGGGTGGCTGTGCTGAGGACCATGGACTCCCCCTCCCCTTGCAGCTGCACCATCTGAACCTGCTGAGGGACAGGCCAAAGCCAGGGCAGAGGAAGAATTTCTGAAGACACAAAACCACCAGCAAGGATATCAGTAAAAACCAGGTTTAATATTAAGCAACAGCACACCAAAGTGCTGTCCCTGTGTGTGTGTGTCTGTGTGTTCAAAGGCAGGTGACAAAAGGACAGTGAGGGTAAGGATTAAAAGGAAAATGGCCCAAACCCTTTACAGCACTCAAATTTAAAGGTACTTCAGTTATACCTTAAACGTACCAATTCAACAGAAGAATATCACGTAGCAGCATTTAACCTTTTTTATGCCTGATACTTCCTTCCAGGCCTGACTCGCTCAGATGTC